ATTTGCAGCTCCCTTCTCTTGGGCATGAGGAAGCCTGAGGAGATCAGACCAGAAGAACCACTGACTTCCTTTGGATCACCTCTTAAAACTCATTTCTATAGACTTGTTTTTAACTGCTACACGTGATGTCTTCTATCTGATCATTTTCATCTTTTACTTGCCTTCCTATATTTTCCTCCAGTGTCATATCTGTTTATTTTTAGTCTTTTTGTTGTGTGTATGTGTGTGACTTTAATCCACATGTATCCTTTCATTTTTCTGCTAACAAGCAGCCTGCTTAGCTTGATAAACTGTGATTATTATATGTAAAATAATGCTTTTAAATACCTCGTGCTCTTCTATATCAGCAACTGGAAATGATGCCATACATCTGGTACAATTTACTGACATTTCTGCTGTTAAGAGAAGCACAGCAAGCGTTAAATAGCAGGAAATAAAATTACACTGAAGTTTACTGAGATTTTTGCTGAATCTATTATTCTCTTACTCTCTTTGAGTGCCCTGCTGGTCGCTTGTAGGGGACTTGATGACTTCTCAGTGACTGAGCAGGTCAAGCCATGATTGGGCTGGTCTCTCAGTCTGACGTAACAGCCGCAGTCTCTGCAGAGCTCAGTGCGGCTCCCACACACCAAGCTGTGTCCGTCCAGCTCCTTCGATGGCACCTCTAGGTCGCAAAACTGGCATGCCTGCAGACGTTCCACACATTCATCAGCCTGTGAGACAGCGAAAAGCACAGTTAGACTGATAACTAGGATAACTAGGGCTCGTCCATGTGGGCAGCTGCAAGTTTAACTTGAGCATGAAGGTGTGGATTCTGTTTTGGTCATAACCCTCTCAGTCTATGGTGACTGTCTTCACTGGGGACAGTGATGGTGGTATTCCAGCACTTTCCAGTTCATGGCAAGCTAGAGATTAAACTTGTCAAATTTAAAGGACATCGTGCAACCTTCAGCTCCACTTACTCAAAGTAAAGTAAAGTGAATGCAAAGTGCTACTTACTAAGGCAAATTTAATCAAATATTAGTGGGGTGCATGTATATATTTGAGTCTGTATATGTCTTGATCCTGTGTGGCTTTGAGAAAATCCAAAATAGATTTAATAAATAATTAAAAGCCCCAAATCACCTTGACATCCATGCCCATGATGATGAGTGAATGTAACCTTCTGACCACAGCTGCAGATTTGTCACTATGTTGTTCTAATGTGTCTGAATGTCTACCTAAATGGTGGTTTTGGTTTCACCTCATGATCCATCAGCTGAGAACGTTCCATCTTCTTGTTGCACTTGGAGCAGCTCACCTGATAACAAGCAAATTTGCAGATTTACATAGATGTGCTGTGCTGTGCGTCGTGTACGTGTTTTACTTTTTCACATTGTGAGAACACCAACTCTTTTTAAAACAAAGTAAACACTGGAATAGCTCATAAATCTCACTGCCTTCATGTTGAGTTGTTACCTACATTTTGCCCAATAATTGAGGGATCCATCATATTCTGATACACAAAACTACTCTCAGCTGCTTCCTTTTATTCACCAGGGGTCACCACAGCAGGGAGCTCCAGGGAGTCCCATATGGAAAAGATATATATAAATCTTATAAAGTTTGTATCTGTCTTGTTTGAAACTTGTATGAAAAGCATGCAAGAGTTAAAACAGATATAAGATCCTTAGAAAAATTATATAAATGAAATCTGTGTGTTTTAGATACTTATTAAAACAATATATGAAAGTGGCCACTTTTATGAGTAAATCATATAAGCCTTATATGATTCACTATATGAAGTAGGCCACATCTGATGCAAGTCTTTTATAAGTTTTTTCTATTTCTTTTCCATATGGGGTGTTTGATATGGCACATTTATTTTACACCTGACGATCTTCCTGACATGCCCCCCAAAAGCATTCATATCTCCTCCCAGGACTGAACCTTTGAGCAGTCACTTGTTCTGCAAATATGCAAATTGATCACTACACAGACACATGCTGATACTCAAAAGGTAGAAATGTGTACCAACACGCAGGGAATGACAGCACTCTGTCTGTGGCCTGTGCTGAAATTCTGAAATGATCTCCATGAAGTGGATCTGTGTGAATAAACAGCTTCACCGTGTTTGTACCTCTGCATGCTGTTCCTCTCTGTGATCCTTCAGCTGATCCCTGGGAACTGATTCATTGCAGTCCGGACAGAGACATAGGAATCGGCTGCAGTGCGTCTCATGTAGATCAAAGTTGGCTTCAGCGACCTCTTTGTGGCTTAAACAACAATAGAAGG